TATCTTGTAAACTTTGGTGCTTCCAAAACAAAACTACTCTTATTTACCCACCCAGCCTCTTATCAGCACGGCTGATGCCCTACTTCACAAGTGTGTCTCTATGCACCTTCTTGTTCTCAGGTTTTCCACTGACTTGAGGTCGAACAACTATATTGAATCAATAGCGTCTTCTACCACAAGAAAATTTCTCGTCTGTATCACACCAAAAGGTTTTTCTTACCAGAGTCCATCCTTCCCATCTACCATTGGTCCTTGCATTGAATACTGCTGCCATGTATGGTCTGGTGCCCCCGTGGTTCATCTTGAGGTCCTAGACAAAATCCAGAGATGAATTTGCAATGTGAGAGGTCCTGATCTGGCATCTCGTCTACAGTCACTTCCTCACAGATGTGATGTGGCTTCCCTCTGTCTCTTCTATAAATATTTTCATGGCAACTGGCATGTTTACAATGATACATGTGCTAACAACCATTTTCCTATCATCCTGAGAAACAGTTAGGTGATCAATGAGCACATACTTAGATCGAAGGTAAGCAAGGTTGACTTGGAAAAATTTGAAAATTTATTTCAAAGTAAATTAACTCAAAATAACATCGAAAAAGTTGAAAATTTCACAGAAAGTGTAATTGCCATAACAAAAGAATACATCTCCAAAAACTCAACACCAAGCAGAAGAAACAGACTCTGGTTCAATGATTGATGTAATTAGACTAAGTAAAGCAGCACTTTAAAAATTCAACAAAGAATCAACAACCACCGCCTTCATCAATTATAAACTAAATAGAAAGCGAAGGCCGTCAGCACTAAAAGAAGCCAAAAAAAAAAAAACCAAACTAAATTCTGCAAGAAAACCAAAAACAGTTTGGGAAATCATTAGAAAAATAGCTGACAAACATCAACGTATCTATGATGATAATGATATCTCTACAAAGAGAAAGTTCCCTGAACAATGGCAATAAACAGCTGTCCTACAAATTTCTAAACAGAGAAAAGGCTGTTCAACCCTGGACTCTATAGACCAAATTCTCTCACAAGCTTTTTATGTAAAATCTTGGAGAATGGTGAATAATTACTTTGTTTGTTACTTGGAGTACAGCACATTAATGACAGACTTACAATGTGTCTTTCACAAAAACAGGAATACAATGGACTACCGGGTACATTTGGAAAGGAAGTATTTATAAGAAAAAAACATGGGATCCACATGACCTTGGACTGAAGGGTAGGCTACCAGAATTTATAAAGAACTTTCTTTTGAATAGAACTTTAATAAAAAATATAATTCCCAAAAAGAAACTTTAATTTTCAGTGTTGAGGTTTGTTCAATAGAACTAATACTTGACTTCATTGCTAGAAGTAAACATAAAAAATATATAATATTCTTTGACTCCCTATCAATTATTTCAGCAATAAAAAAAATTAAAAAATCCTTAACAACTCACTGCTGAGGAAATTACAATGCAGGCTGGATTTATTATACCAAAGTCAAGAAATAGGGCTATGCTGGATTCCACACCATATTGGAATTGGAGGATATGACCAAGTAGATTCAAGCCACAAAGTCTGCCCAAAAATGAAACTTCATGATAATTTCAAGATCACTTATGCAGACCTGAAAAGTAAAATAAGCAACTGAATTCAACAGAAATGGTAACGTTCCTGGGTATAATGATAAACTACATTTGCGTCCTGGGGAAGATAATAAACTATATCTGCGTCCTGGGGAAGATAATAAACTACATCTGCGTCCTGGGGAAGATAATAAACTACATCTGCATCCTGGGGAAGATAATAAACTACATCCAACACTAAGGCTTCTGATCAGAAGGGTTTGAGGAGCATGGGGCCATCTCTTTGTCCAAAGCAATATATAATTTCTCAAAACTGACCTGTTTGAGAAGGTAAATATGGATGATATGCTATCATTTCTAAAAGTGGTTGGCTTCTACAAGAAAATATAAAACAGGAGAGAATTTTTTTATAAAAGATTTTATAAAAAATTTTTTAAAAACTCTACAAAGTGAGACTATTGATTAAAAAAAATCTATTTGCAGAAATAAAACAAGAAAACCAGATATGTAGAGAATAAATATTTTTTTTACAGAGAATACTTTATTATATGCATTTTTATATATATTAAAAAAAATAAATCATGGCATTAAATAACCCTTTGAGGTTGATATGCCATAAAACAAACCATGGCAAACACATTGGATCCAAAAGCTTCTCACAATAAAACTAATCCAAGGTGAATGAATACAAGTGTCTATAAAATGAAGAAAAGATGAAGTAATACTGGGCTGACTACACATAGACCACACATACCTGTTTCAGCCAAAAGAAAGTTCAATTTTCAATGATGAGATTTGTTCAATAGAACTAGCACTTGACTTTATCACAAGAAGCAAACATAAAAAATATGTAATATTTTCTGAACTCCCTATCAGGTATTACAGTACTGAGAAAACAATTGGACCAAAACCCACTGCTGGTGAAATTGTTATATAAGCTCGATTAATTATCCAAAAGTAAAGAAATAATGCTATTCCAGACCACAATTACGAGGAAAACTCAGCAAGAAAGTCTACCCAAAATTAAACTTTTGATAATAGTTTTAGGTTCCCTTATACAGATGTGAAAAATTAAATAAAGAGTTTCATTAAACAGAAGTGGCATATCGACAATACAAATAATAAGCTTCACACAAACCAGTCCTCGTGTGAATGGAAGCAGATGTCTTGAAAAGAAGAAAGTTTGAGGTAATATTGGCTTGGCTACACATAACCCTCACCCATTCATAATTGTTGAAGAATGAAGAGCAACCAACATGTACAACAGTCACTCCTGGTGAAACATTTTAACTGAAGGTACTTAGCACCTGTAAGACAAATAATACAAACTAACACCACAAAACTAATTCAAAATACTGAAACCATTAACACAATGTCCAAACTTAAACAGGTTTATACAAAAAATTATAATACCTACAATAGATAATGTACAAACTATATATCTATAAGATAAATAAAATATGTAGTTGTAGGCATACAATTCTGTTCTAAAATATATTTAGATTTGAGCATTAAATAACCTATAGATAATTACTGGCCAGACCTGGCATTGTTTCAATGACTGTACAAAAATATGTGTTTCAATGTGATATCATCATAAAGCTGCTTGTATCGATCACATGGGCTTCAGAAGACTATTAACAATGACCTGTTAAGAATGACTTGATAATTAAGAAGACACTTCCATAGTTGAAGAGTTTGTGTTTGTAACTTCCTATGCCATACTGTGTCAAATACCCAAGGCAATTTTATTGTCTAGTGCCTCACTGATTCCATGTCTAATAGCAGTTAGGTCCAGTACTTATGCATGACAAAATCAATACTGTGTCACTCAGGAGGCTCTTGATGATCAGAGAGGTTGCTGATGAAAGTAAATATGGAGGTGAGTTCTCACCCACATTCTTGAAAACAAATTCTACAGCTGAGACCTTCTATAGACATCAGAAGTATTTCTCATCCAGCCAGTGGTTAAACAATTTAGGCAAGATTGATGATGGTTCTGGATGGATTTTCTTTAAAAGAATGACTGAGATCCTTCTTGGATTCGAGGCCTTTGGGGATTCTGGATACAAACCATGCCATGATAGAGACATTACAATGTTTGTGATCCATGAGGAAGAAGGAAGTTGCATGGGGAAGGGCCCTTCTTATCTAATGTAGATAGATGCAATGTTAATTGCAAAGAGGTCAGCCTGATCTGATAACCTCAGGGACATTTACAATAGAAAACAATGAAGCTTTTCCTCTCTTGGGATTACTGGTCTAAGTCCTGTTTCTCACACAAACAAATTTTTATCTTTTAGTCTTAAGAAGCATTTCTGATAGTAATGCTGGTTCTATTAGCCATCTGGATAGATTTAAAATTGCAATTTTAACAAACTTAAAGTTCTAACCAAACTTTTGCACTAATTATAAAAAACATTATCATTACATAGACTAACATGATGTCATCTACAAAATATTTATATATTTTTATATAACTGTTTCATTAGAAAGTTGCTGTTTGCATGTTCAACAGAAAGCAAGGAATCCATAAAGAAGACAAACAAGTAGGAAAGGAACAAAAAAAAAAAAAAACAAATATGAAAGGAAAGAAACAAACAAATACAAAGGAATAAATGGGGAACAAAAAACAAAACAAAACAAATAAATACAGAACAAAAGAAACCAACAAATATGAAAAGAAAGGTACTGAACAACACAATCAAATGGGGAAAGAAAGAAACAGATATGGAAAGAATGTCAGTTCTTTATTTTAAATCATTTCTCCCTATTCAAGGCAATAAAGCCAGTAAGATGCAACAGGTTTACTAAGTGAGAAAGAATAATTAAAAAAAAGGGAACAAGAATCAAGAAGGTAACACTTTACATTGCATTTAATTTATTGAAGATCAAAGTTAACCGGAAAGCAAGAAGCCACACTGTTAGCATTGAACTTACAGAAGATATCTATTTCAACTGTGAAATGCTGAGACGTTACGATCAATCTAGCACAGCACTTAAATTCATTAGAACAATTACCATAAAAATATTTATAGAAAAGACACAGGGAACATATTTTATAATTATGGGAAAGTGACTGAAACTGAGATGCCAGCTCAGGATCAATAATATTGTAGATTCTTCTTTTGGATTCTATCAAGAATCTTTGAATGCTTAGCAGAGGCACTAGACTAGTTGTGCCAGCAATATTCATCATGTGGAGGCATGGTAGACTTAGATTCTGTCAAGAAATATATTTCTCGCATGACACAATGAACCAACCTTTGTAGCAGCAGACATATAATTTTATTCAATATAATCTGTCCATGCACTGAACGCAAAACAAAGAATTCAAATGAAGAAAAGCAAAAAAGAAGTTTGGAGACATTAGGGTGTACCCTGCCTCCCCCTTCACAAATTAATAAATATCTTTATTTTAAATTTCAGACTGCGAAGATGCTCTTGAAGGTAGGGCTGCTGTCTGTCTTCAGATGGGTGACACTTATGCTGCTTTTCAAGATCTCAATGCAGCCATACGCATTAACCCTACAGCAGTACTTTATAACAACCGAGGTGTTGTTAATCAGGTAAGTTTCTTTTGTTTGTTAATAGAACATGTGAGATGTAAAGTTTAAACTTTAAATATTTTTTCTACAACTATTATCTTAAAAACCAATTTGTATCCTTGTTTGGCTTAAATGTGGGGGGAAAAAAATCACAGATTTTCAGAATGACAAGAAATGAATTGTGGTTTTATTAAGGTCGACTAATTTCAGGAAATCATATCAGTTTTACAAGAGAATTTCACATACAATGTAAAAACCCATTTCATTTTTTGTGCAGTTCCGTTGAATATTATGTAATATTACTAGGAGAAACAGTTGAATTGCAATTATGCACCTAAGCAATTCAGGATTAGAACAGTAAGTAGACTATATAGACAGGAAGAGATATATTTAAATAGTAATAACACTTACAGGTTTTAATTTTAACTTTCTCATTTCTGAAATTGCTTATACATAAACTTGAATTCATAAAAGATGTTCAATGAAATTCTTCAAAATTTTATACTGGCTGTTTATATGCAATAAGATTTCTTTACTATCAAATTTCTTTATTTCATGGGGGCTTTTTTCCCTTAAATTGTTTTCAAGAACAAAATAGTTAAATTCAATGAAAGAAAAGACATTAAATTGTGGGCAACAGCAAAATGCTAGGGAAAATATGAACTACAAGAATGCTTATACTTACAATCAGAAAGAGAACGAAATTCTGGGACACAATGCGGTCCTGGAGAATTTAACTCTTGCAGAATATAAGAGAAGCAGGAATGAGTTTAAATGAATGGCTGGTAGGTCAAAGACAAATGGATGATAAAAAGTGGGAATTTACTTAGATTAACACAATATGGTTCTTTTCTATAGCTTATCGACCATATGCAGGTTATTTCAAGTCATAAAATATTTTTATCTTGAAAGAATTTTTTTTTTAGAGATAATGATTTATTGAAACAGGTTTTTTACTAATTAACTTATAGCTGGGGGGAGAAGAGGTGGATTCAAGAATTTCCCAAGGTCATTTGCATGTAAGTTAATATAATGAACCCAACTGGAATTGGAAGTCTGCTCTCCAATAAGCAATTATTCTATTAAATAATTAATAAATGAAAGGGATTTTAAACATACATTTCTCCTGTAGAACTATCTTCCGGCTTCTTGCTTTCCTGTCAACTACATATTAATTGATTAATTGATTCATTTTCTACAGCATATCAAACTTTTGCAGGTTTTTAAAAGCAGAAAAAAATTTTACATATTAAGAATTGTTTATTGGAAATAATAATGGTTTAGTGATACAAGTCTTAATAATTAACACATAGTTTGTGGGTGGGGAGAAGAGGTGCATTCATTCCTTTTCCGAAGGGTATTTGCAAGTAAGTGAATATAATGAACCCAACCGGAATTGGAACTCAGGTCTCCAGTTAAACTTTTGAGCCATTATCTACTACACAACCCACATATCCAAGCTTACAGTGCATGGTATTTTGAAGTGGTCATCCATCTATGCACTGACCAGGCTTGATATTACTTCAGTGATTGTATATGAACTGTGGGTTCACTATGATAATTCTGTAATCTTAGAGTAACAAAAGAAAGGGTGTTGTGAAGAGCCATAATCATTCTGTCCTGGGGGAGTATAGCACATAAGACAAAATAAATATGTAAGTAATGAACAATCTCTAAATTCACTAAAGTAAACAGTATCAAAAGCAGGTGGAACATTGCATTCAAAGTAGTCTTGTGGCTTGTCAGTACCTGCACCTGCTTGGTAAATTTGATATGATTTTTAGGGACACAACCTTAACAACATAAAATACACAGAAAGAAAATTGCAGGAAAGGAAGAAGAAATCACTCAGTATCAATTGTAAGACAGAATGTATGGTTAGGAACAAGAGTCCTAGACGTAAGGTACACATGGGAGACATCTGAAAATCAAACAAGTAAAGGGATTTAACTCTTTGGAGAGTGTTATAAGTGAGGGAAAATGTGACATGAATTTGAAAGCCCATTGGAATAGCAAAATTTATCTTCCAAAAGCTTAAAGAATTAACTGGAAAATTTTGTTAGAGACAAGATGATTGCTCAACTCCTATGCAATATTAATCCTCTTGTATGGCAGTAAATGCTGGACAATCTTCTCACTGATAAAGAGGAAACAGGAGGCAATGAATTTACAGAAGATTATCGAGAATTCCATGGACTAAAAATGGGAATGAAAAAGACTAATGAATAATTGAAAATTCTGGACAACTGACACTTACAGGACATATAATGGGGAAACATTGAATAACCTACCTAACACACTTTTGTAAATGGATGGCAGTATATAGACAGAAAGGGATAGTAAGCAAAAGAACATTACTTAGAGTTACAAAGGATAGGAAATTGTGCCCACATCTTGAAGGGACATAACCTCATAAAAGAAAATGCAGAGTGTAAGTGGACCTCAAAATTTATTGCTTTTTGATGGACATTTATTTGTATTGTAACGCTGGCAAGACTTCATGGAAAATACTTTTGGTTTTGTTAAAGCATGATGAAATTATTTGAGTTCTTGTCATAGTTTGAAAGGATTATTTTTGCTTATTTTATGACAATTTCACTAATTGAAACCTTCCATTTGATAGATTTTCTTTTGTCTACTCTACCGTGTTTATTTACATACCCTTCCTTCCTGCTACTGTCTTACAATTGATACTGAGTGTTTTCTTCTTCCTTTCCTGCAATTTTCTTTCTGTGTATCTTATGTTGTTAAGGTTGTGTCCCATATGGAATTTACCAAGCAGGTGCAGGGACTGACAAGCCACAAGACTACTTTGAATGCAATGTTCCACCTGCTTTTGATACTGTTTATGATGTTAGGGATCTCATTGACAAGTGTATCTCATTTGATCCATGGATAGGAACTTGAAATGAGAAATCAAAGAGTGTTGAGTGTTACATTCACTTACATGCAAATTCTCTTGGGAAAGGTATGAATCCATCTCCCACAAGATGTGTATCTGGAAAAAAATCATTGTTACAAAAAAAAAAAAAAAAATGAATTATCTTTACTATCCATAATGTTTTGGCTTTAAATAACCCACAAGGTTAAGAAGTTGTAAAACAAAAATAAATCAAATCAATTCAGTTGATTTTTACTTAAATTGTCTTGTAATAACTAAAATTGTAATAATCAGTTTCCTTATAAAGAAACATTCAACATTCATTGACTGAGCAGCCAGTCCTGCTTTTGGTTGAAATTTGTAATAATAACATGATGTTGACATTCCACACTGCATCAAACAAAAGGTTAGCAAGGAAGCTCCCCTATGAATATTAGAAAGAATAATAACAGTAGACTATTTTCCTGAAAATTGTTTTAATAGAAAGATCTTAGAAATTTCAATATTTTTTTTCTCCCCAAAGTTAATGTTTCTGCTGATTCATTCTCTAACCTTCCTCGGGTGCATGGGACATATGGATAATTTAAGTGCCCTGAATACATCATTATAATAATAAGGATATCAATGTTTAAGTCCATGTTTAAAACTTTTTAAAGCAGTATTTCTCATGAAACATTAATACATATTCTGTTATATGCCACATCCTGTTAGAAAATGAAACATTAATGCATACATTGTGTGAAAAAGAAAATATTGCTTGGCTTTAAAATTCTTAACTAAGTACCAACATGGCAGACAATTGTGTTAGTTGATATGGACATAGTATAATGAATATGGATGGCTGGAATTTATTTGTATCATGCAGGCATAAATTATTTAACTTTGACTCACAGTAATTTTAATCATAAAAGTGTTACAGTGGAAGACAGGCGGGGGGGGGGGAACTTTAATGGTGTAAAAATATTCATCTCCTGTACAAAGAAACAAAGAAGGAAAAAAAGAAAGCTGTTATAGTGTAAATTCAAAGTTTTATATTCCAGAAATCATTGAGGTTACAAAGAAAAGAGTACTGAACTGTTATGTAATATCAGTCCTCCTATATGGCACTGAAGGTTAGACAATCTCTTCAAAGATGAAAAAGAGACTTGAAGTAACAAAAATGTTCTACAGAGGAATGCTGATGATACCATGAACCAAACATGTGAGCAACAACGAAAGTGTTAGAGAAAATAGAGACAAAAGAAAGTTAACATCAGGAAGAGACAGTTGAAATTTCTAGGGCACATAATGATGAAAGATAGCTTGGAAAATCTGATACTGACAGGGCAGATTGAAGGCAAGTGGAATAGAGAAAAATAATGCATAACCTACGTAGTGAGCTGGAGTAAATGGATGACAGAACAAGGTTTAGGAGAGATAAAAAAAAAAAAAACAGATAAAATTTATTAAGACTTATAAAGGATAAGAAATTGTGGAGAGCCATGATCGCCTTTGTCCAGAAGGGTCATGGCACATAGAATAAGTAGTAGTCAAATAGACTAGACATCAGAAAAGTTGTTAATGACAGACTTACATACAGTTGCTATGCAGATTCCCAGTGACTACTAGTTGGTGTGATTGATTACTTTCATACAGTATCTTTTTATTTATACATCATGTGTGAAAGTCACAGGAGACATGAGTATGAATATTTAAAAGAAAAATGGTTAGCTTGTTTTGACTATGGCACTTAAGGAGTATAAGATTTCTAATAACTTAATAAACTTGTTGCACATTCTCAGCTGATATGAAGTGGAAAGACTATATTGAATCCATTGCAAGAAAAGTTGCTAAGAAAGTTGCCTCACTGTGTTGTGTGAGACAATCAGTAATATTATTGGTCCTGATCTGGCATGTCAGCTTCAGTCTTTTCCCACCACTGTTAGTTTGCCTCCCTGTGCCTTTTCTACAAAGAATTTCATCATAATTGATCAGATAAGCTCTTAACTACGTTGACTTTTTTGAATTTAAGTTCAGTACTAAACTGGCAATGAGATATCATCAGTTTACAGTTGAGTTGGTTAGATATAGCCATAACTTCTATGCTGACAATTTCTTTTCTCGCACTTCTCACTTGTGGAATTCTCTTCTGGCTCCATGC